GAAAGACTCAAATTCAAGAAAGTGATACACACTCCAGATGTCCAAATTCAAGCTGCAGGTACAAGAATGAAATGAAGCTATTCCATGTCTCATGCCTTTGGGGTGGTCTAGGTCAAGAAACAACAAGCTTTATTAAAGACAACCTTTTGCAGGCACTTCACATAAAATAACATGGACAGTTACATCTCAAAGAGAAAACTGACTGTGAGTAACTTCCCCTGAAGGTGTAAGTATTTGTAGGGTACAAGTCGCATTATGGGATGACATACTCCAACAGTAAACTAAGTGATCGTGCAAAGAAAGAGAAGGGACCATGAAGAAAAAAGCCTATCTTAAGGTTAGTGCATATGAAGATGGAATGTGGCTCTACTCCTTTTTTTATTACAGCAATCAACAAGTAACTTACTGCCAAAAAATTTAACAGATACTACCCCACGTTCAATTTCCACATGATAAATGTCATAGAACATGTCAATTCGAACTGTCAAAAACAAACGCAACTCTTTCCTGCAAAACAGACATTGAGAAGCCTATGCTTAAAAAGCTTGTTTTAAGCTTGTGCAATCCCAAATGTTTGTGCAAGTCTTGATTCTCCTCTTTAACAGAAGGGCTGCAAGTGGCTCTATAATACGCCTGCAGGGACACAATGCAACCTAAGAACTGGGGGCAGAAATACCTGCTTCTCCTATATGACAGGAGGACACAAAATCAACTGCCTTATTCTCTTATAAGGATGATTCTTTCAGTTAAGACCAAATAGCAGCAATACTCATGAAGGTAAGTATTATAACATGGGGCTGGGGGAGGAGTTGTTTCATCATAAGAATCTAATATTTCCTGATACATTAAAGAGAAGCATTGCCTGAACGCCAGTAGCCATCTAAGCCTGTGTCATTCTGTTTAGAGCAGTAAGGCATACCTAGAAAACAAGCTAGGCAATGGTACTTCCTTCCCCTCTGTTCAACAAAGAGTCACTACAGAAATTAGAGATCTGACAAATCTCCCACCGCAAAGGTAAGATCCTTCTTAGGAAAAAGGCAGAGATGGGACAAATCAGTTCCACATCAACCTTTCCAGCTCACTCAAGTGCTAAAGCCAAGGCCGAGTGACACACTTTACATTTCAGATGTTGAAATTTCAGAGAGTCTCCACTTAAATGTCAAAGAGACAGCCTGTAAATTTCCTGACGAGAGGGAGAAGGCCCTCCGACTCTTCAATGGGACACCTCAAACACTCACAAGGAAATAAATAATGCAGTTAGATAATGCAGAAGAACTGATAAGACCCACAGGCCCCAGAGAAGTAGTGGGAGCACTGTCTTGTGGAGAAAAGCTGCCACTCATGTGGTGAGCTTGCTGGTTCTCTGTTCTCGAGGCCTTGTGTCTGACAAGCGACCTTTGCTTCATTATCCACAAAACGCATATGAAAGTGCACACCCTGCATATGCTAATAAAGATTATAGAGAAAATGCCAAACATATACAAATATGGCACTCATTTCTCCACTCAAATCATGCTACACATCACCTGAGAGAAGGGATAAACCTGAGATGATGCTGTCCTTGGCAAAGGGGTGTGGATGAGGCTAATTCAGCAAACAGAAAAGGAGGAAACAAGAGCCTCTAGAAGATGATTGTGCCTGTGAAGATTTTTCCCAAGAAAGAAGATTATGCCTGGGAAGATTCCCTGAAAAAAAACCACTGGAATCAGGACTGGTAATCTCTTTATCTCTGTTTCTCTGTCTTTCCTTTGTCTATCCCTGGGTTTCTTTTTTCTTTAGAGTTGCTAAGTAACACCCTTAAGTCTTTGTGTAAGTAACATGCTCAGTAACACAATGCATACCTTACCACTTGCCATGATTTGTTATATATCTAACCAATTATCACAGACTTGTTAAGACCTATACTAATCATAAACCACTGGAATCAGGACTGGTAATCTCTTTATCTCTGTTTCTCTGTCTTTCCTTTGTCTATCCCTGGGTTTCTTTTTTCTTTAGAGTTGCTAAGTAACACCCTTAAGTCTTTGTGTAAGTAACATGCTCAGTAACACAATGCATACCTTACCACTTGCCATGATTTGTTATATATCTAACCAATTATCACAGACTTGTTAAGACCTATACTAATCATTTTGAGAGACTAATAGATGTTTGTATACGGACCTTGAGATTTCTCTCACCTTAACTGGCGCAGTTGGGGATTTATGAATGTAAAGTCACTTATCCCCCTGCCTCTTTCCTGAGAGTGGGAGATGACACAGGGTACTAAGTAATTATACTTGTTCCTTTCCTCCATCCCACAACATGGTCACTGAAGACCACTTACACCCATCTTCTTTTCTATGTGTTGAAATTCTAATTTTAAGCATGATAAATAAAAGATTTTGCTAGTGTTATATTACATAATTTTCTAAAGCTTTAGGACATAGTACATCTTTTCACTTTAAATCTAGCAAAAAATCAACCCCCACCATTTATTTATTTTATTTTAACATGTAGCAGAACGGAGTCCCAGAACTCCAAAATAAAACTTGTGAGATGTGGACTTAAGTGTGATAAAGTTTCTAAAGCAAACGTAACCTCCAAGCTTATGGAATAACAGGACTCCTTGATTTTTAAATCTTATCTGTTAGAAATCGACACCTTTTCCTAAGCACTAAAACCCATCTAATATAGTGAAGCGTAAGAAAAGAAAATGACATTTGTATCGAAAGGGAAAGTGATTTAAATATATACACTTTGAACAGGAAAATTTTTGCTCACAAAAAGATCGTAAAGTAAACCCACCGTATACCCCACTTAAGTAAGTATTCAAAAGCCTTCACTCTCACTAAGCAGTACATCCTGAAAAGTCTTTTAAAAAGATGACATAAAAGTGTTCAGTAGACACAGAGAAGGTCTTCCTTAGCAGGCTGTCTTCATGTACATGCCATTAAGAACAGAAGAGTTGCTTGCAAAAAATCAGAACAGAACACAAAAAGCAACAGTATGAGCTCATATACCCCATGAACTCTACTTCAGAACGTGCGGTACACCCACAACAGAAAAATACAAAAACACGTTGAGTTAAAAGCCAAATGGTACTTATTATCAGACCTAGGATATAACTGATATATAATGACATTACTTCTCATCAAGAAAATAACACCTTACTATAGCTCCACAACAGCAGGCTTCGACAGTGAAGGTGACTTGAAAACTTTCCAGTCCACCTTCCACCTTGATGCACTGTTAACAAGCTGTCAGCACAAGAGAGGGGCTATTGGCAGGATGTGCTATGAAGCACATCATTGAAGCAATCCAGGTTAAAAGTATCCAACCCCAAATGTGGAATTAAAAAGGGTGGGGACTTTAAATAAGCAAGTATGGTTACAGCTCAACACCATAAAGAATTACCTACCAGTGCAGCCAAGATGGTGACATCAAACCAACAGTGTGCACTTGGGGTAGAGGATAAATAAAAGGGTCAGGATCTTGAGTGTCTAGTCAGTTCATTCAAACCAATCACGGGAAAACTTCTCAAACCAAAGTAATTATGCAGTTATAAAAAGCAGAACAGAAGTCTTAAGGAAAAGCACATGACATGTAAGCAGTGTATTTTTATCACTGTGCAGTTGCCAGCAGCCATTCTTTACAGCGCGCTCATCTCAGGTGTGTATGTCAAGGCAGTACTTCAGTTTCATATAAGCTGCATGCAAAGTATAATACACACCAGTTGGCACATTTTAACATGTTTAAAGAACAATCTTACTCTACTTAATCAAATCTTTTACCTTTGCATTATTTAAAATTACAGAAGTATTCGGAGTATAGAAATGTACATGTAGTAGCAGTTATCCTAAATTACACTGTTATTTATTTAACATTTAGTTATGCTAAATTATCTTGTTAGGAACAGGCAGTAGGCACCTCAGATGAAAAAAAATTTGCCAGATGCATTAGGAAAAGCAGACCTGAAGCAAAGTAAGGCTAGATATATTCTGCTGTAGTGAGCTGTAGCTCACTGAACAACTTGCAAGACTTTGAAATTCTTATACAAATATTAATGAAAGATCAAACGCAAAGACAAAAAACACCAGGGAATTCAGCAAAAAGGAAGCTGGATTTTATAAAACAGGCTCAATCAGAAGACAAGAGAGATGACAACTTCTATGGACCTGCAGTACAAAGAGAAGTCAGTCCACAAGAACAAAGTTTGGATAGATTATCAAGGGCACTGCAGCTCACAACTAAACCTGAACAGCCACTCTAATGTTATGCGAGACACTAAGAAGAAAGTGCTTCAGAGAAGGAGACAGCGAAGCAGATGTTAACATGATTCTGAAGACTGCAAAGCAGTTGTAACTTAAGCATTGATTTTCTTCCTAACCATTAAGTTTTTGTCCCTTTCCACTACCCATGAGCTGCATTAGGATATTTTTCAATTACAGATATAGCAATCGCATTTGTTAAATACTAGGACTTCTTTTCCCACAGGTCCAGCACTGAGAACTGGTACTAGATTTCTAGCCAAGCACACTCCTGACGTCAGACCATGAAATGCAAAGACCAAGTAAGAAACAGGACAGAACTGGAGTAACCCAGACTGTTTCCTTAATATAGAAAAGGACAAAAGTCTTCAAATGATACTATTTAGATATTTATCAAGCCAGGAAGAAAAAAAAAAAGAAAAAAAGTCAGAAACTCTGGAATTGTAGTTTTGAAAAAAGAATAGAGGTTTAATACTCAAGTGAGTTGTTACAAAGGAATCAGAGAAGCTGCATGATCTGTTCATTACAGAACATTATTTATATTTCAAGATGAGGGAGTTTTTTCAGTTTTATCTTCTTGTAAAGCATAATGTTTACACATATTATGCTTCTTCTCCACCATGAAATATGCTAAGATGGAACCCTAAAAAGACTCCTTCAGCCCAAAAGGAAATAAGATTTCTGCTCTTTCCTGCTTGTCCTGCTTGCTGCTGCAGCTTAATAAAAGGAAGAGATCAGCAACATACTTACACAGTGAACCAGCGGTCCGTCCTCTTTTTGACCTTTCTTGATTAGCTTTTTCAGAAGCCAAAGAAGCTCTGGTTTGAATACTTCTTTTTACAGGGTTCTCCTGTGATTCTGCAGCCTTCTCCACTCCATGAAAGTATTTCATGTGATAATGCAATAACTTGGCTTTGCGGAAGGATTTTGAACAGTCCAAGAACTTGCATCTAAACTTGTGATCTTGATCAACAGTTGCAGCTTTTTTTGATGCAAGAAAATTTGCTCTCCTACAGGGTTTTGTTACTGGAAGAACAAAACAGATAAATTCTCCCATGCATTTGCTACATTTATCAAACAGTTTCCTAAACTTAAAATAACAAAAGTTTAAAAATGGGCAAGCATTCAAACACGCTGGCTACGAAATGATAAAAATAAAAATTTAATGCTGTATCTGCCTTGAAGTTCAGTAGCTCTTAATGGAAAACTCTGCCCTACTGTGCTCTTAAAAATTGATTGTGATGACACCAGTGTTTTCATGAATGAGTTATTATCAGAAAATAACATTTTGCATCTTTGAGTCCCTTGCCCAATCACTGAAGTCACTATATATAGTGCTAATGTAGATACAAGACTAACTACACAGTGTCTTTTAGTCAGAACACTGGATTACTTTCTATCAAGTCTTTATTTCTTTGTAACTGTTCATATCTTTGGTGAAAGCACTTTCCAAGGAAAACAATTCTGCTGCTTTGCTTATAACTATTTCGCTACCTGTTTTCTGGATGGCTTGTCCTACCACCCGAGTTCCATTACTTCCAAGAGCAATGGTAGCAGAAAAGCTCCATTTTTCAAGTAAAATTGAAATTAATTTTGATTTGCAAGCAACAATGAAAGAATGAAACAAAGCAACAGAAAAACTGCTTGCATCTGTTGGGAAATTTCTCTGATAACGTACAGTTAGTGTATCAAAAAAAGCAAGGAAAGCCTTCAGAGTCTAATGGAAAAATCATTTTAAGGCATGTGTCATAGAGAGCACTGCTGAGCAACCCAGGGCTATACCTAAACTTGGCCTGGTAAATTCCTATTTCTTCTTCCAGCCTTTCAGAAACTTTTAATTCATGTTTTTGCTAAGAAATACACAAAAGAAATATTTTTAACTAAGAGTAAATCAGATTACTGTTACCAGCATCTGTATCCAATATAACAGAGGAGAGGTAGCAATTCGGAAACACACAGATGTAGAGAGATCCAGGCAATTGTCCATCACTAATACACACAGAGCCTCAAAAAAATCCCTCACCAGCTACAGCACAATGGAAAGGTGGTGTCATTTTTACAAAATATCTTCCAGATATTTTTTCCCTTTTTTTTTTTTGCCAGTACTAAAATATTATTTCCGTATTTACAAATATTTTCAAACTTGAAGGATTAAGAAGAAATGCTTAAAGCCAAGACCAAGACCTAGCAACAGTGAAGCCAAACTGAAGATATGCAGCACATGAACGAAAATTAAGGCATTATGTTAGTAATAGCTGAAAACAAGGAACAGGAAAGGACCCAGAAACATTACAAACAAGAGCAACTGCAGAAAGAATAAGCTTTTTTTCTATGCAGGAATGCACTGAATGGGAGTGTTAAGTGTCAACAGGATCTTGGTGTAAGACCACAGGACAGCTTGTTCACAAGGTTTTAGCGTGCAGCAACAAAAATGGCATGTTACTGAGCTGCACACGTAAAGGTTACATCATAGTGAGGAAAAGCATCCCAGATAGCTGTATCTGAAGCACAATCAGTTTTTAAGTACTGTGTTATGACAAAGAAATGAAACTTAAAGTCATTCATAGAGAAAAAGCAAGTAATGGTACTCCAGGTGTTCATGTACAGGGAAGGATTAAGAAACCATGTCTACAGACTAGCAGTAAGACAGAATATTCAGTTCATTTTGAAAAGAAAACAGTAAAAATTCAGACACTGCTTTTGGGTCTTTCACAAAGATAATGACAAAGAGAAAGAAAAGACATCTTGGCATGGCCATATTAAGAACATGCTAACAGGGATGCTGCTTCAAGCAATTATGGTAATAAGACTGCAACAAATCCAGACAATTGGATCACACTTGCAGAATGACAAAGTTCGCCAGCACCATAATCAAAATACACCGTACACCATCAAAAGTTGCATTCATAAAAAATGAAAAAATATTTCAGGAACAGTGAGTGAAATGGCCTGTGGGTTTAGTGAAAGCAATAGCAGAAAAGTTCTCTTGACTGTAAAGCTACAAACCAGCATTCAGGACAATGAAAGAGACCTTGTTTTTATTTAATAACTAAGATGAAGATGGGAAAAGTTAACTGCAGCAGAACGTGGTAATGAGGTCTGAAGATTTAGCCAAAAAATATTACAAGGACAGCAAGAGAAACTTATACCATCACACAACTGTCATGAGGCCCTGCATTCAAGCTCTGAGAACTTCCCCCATTGAGAGAGATAGATTCTGGAGGAGATACAGGGACTAGAAGAGCAGCACAGGATGAGGTTAGCAAAAGTTTAGAAACAGAGGCAGCAGACAAAAACTTACTGCAACATAGAAAAGGAATCTATTCAGAGAACTAAAGACACAGGCAAGCCCACACAGTTTGAAACAAAGCTTAAATTATTGCCATCACCACCACATTCAGGGGCACTTTTCTTCTTCACACGTAATACAACAGAACTGGGGACAGCAGGGGACAGCAGGGGACAGCAGGGGACAGCAGGGGACAGCAGGGGACAGCAGGGGACAGCAGGGGACAGCAGGGGACAGCAGGACGCTGATGCCCAACCCAGGAGAGCCCCCGAGGAGCCCGGGCTCCCAGCCCAGAGCCCACTCATTACACCAACAGCTAAAGGGGGGAACTTCCATCCTTACACGAATACATAGTTTTCACTCACAATGCATGCTACTAAAACTGGTTTCTACAAAGTCCAAGTTTTGCTGCATTAGCTTCAGATTTTCAGGCACCTGCCTTTTCTGAGAATCACAGTGGGCGTTTCCTCTGAGCGTAGAAGAAAGTTAATGACAGACCTACCACCTGCTATTTCTTACATGTTTATAACCAAAAATAAAACTCCTCACCTGGCATTCAACTAGCCATTAGAATATTAAGCACAGACACTCAAGGCAAAACAACAGTGTCTCCTTCAGCTTCCACTACAGAGGGAAAAAACCCATCCCTTCAGCATTCAAGTCAGAAATGTCTCTCACTTCTCATTGTGATGTATTATCCAAGGCTCAAGCAATGACCACGTTCTGCAGCAAGTTTACAATAAAATAAATGTCACCATGTGAAGTTTCTGAGTCCACAAGAGGTTCTCCTCCCCCTCCACCCCCAGCTTCTTTGTTTGAATTGACTCCTGCTGGGACAGGAATGTTTGGCAGCAGAGAAGTACCTTGAATGAAGGTCTGCCATCCTGAGGCATCTTTTGCGACTCATTGATAAGCTATCCCAGAAAGCCAACAGTGCACATAACACTTAGTATTTCTGTGGAGACCAGGAAATGGAGACTAGAAGTCTCAGGCAATTGTGTGTGAAGATCTAATGGCTAGAAACTGCAGCAGGGCCAGCTTTAATTGGGGGAAAATGCTAAGTGAAGATCAAACTATTCCTTCACCTGCTGTTAAACTGAACACATCGACTCTCTCTAGAACATATGTTCTCTGGTGCTTCCATCTCTTATTTTCAAGATTATTTGTTACCATTCCCTTTCTTAGCTGACACTTTTTACAGTGTGCTTTGGCTAACTTCTTCATTAATTACCTATTTTTCTTTGGTCTGAAATCTTGTGTTGTTTTTCTTGAGCTCACCAAAAGTATTCCACCTCATCATTTTAGCACCCAAACTCAATTTCTTCCCTTATTTTCAAGCAACTCTGTCTTTCAAGATCTCAGCTGTGAAACAAAGAACATCTTGCTTAATTGCTCTTCTCAAACTACTTTATGCAAGGGCACCATCCAAGCATTTCCAGTGCATCCAGAATCCACTCAAGTGGACACTCAGTGTAGTAAATATATACGGCATCAATAATCACAGATCATTACAAAGTTGTGCATTCCTTCAGCCTGAAACACTGACACCGCAAGAACTACTGAAGGCAGTATTTCAAACGATCCTCCACTCCCCATGTTCTCCCTGTGCAGACACTAAATCTGCAACATAAACCAGGGTAGTCTGTACTGCACAAAAAGCTCGTACGCGTGCAGTGTGCTCCTCTGCAAACCCCTGCAAACTCGAGAGAGGGCGAGCAGCTGGGGCAGGGGGTAAAGGCTTTACCCACACCTTGAGCTGTGACAGAAACACCGTGTCCAGATCATGGTGTCTAGCTGTAAGAAACTTTTGTAAGTCAGCAAAGCAGGATGGACTTCTTTACATACTATATTGTTAGGCTTAAAATGACAACTTTTACACTACCTTGAAGGAATCAAAGCCTACCTAGGTAAGCTGCAGGATACCCAGCTGCTCTCTCAAACTGGATGCAAAGATATTATGCTTCTCCTTAACTGAAACCCAGAGCTAAAAGTGACAAAATTAGAAAAAAATGTGGTAAGTATAAGGCAAATGGAATCCCTGATGCATCTCTATGCAAATAAAAACATAATCTTAAGAGTTCTGGAAAATACAACCACAAACACAATAGCAGATTTGTGCAAAGGCAGTTCACCTTTAAGGTCAAATCAGTTTGTAAGCGTAAAGCCACAGGAACAGCTGTAGAGTGCTTCTAAGCCTGTTTTCAGATATATGAAACAGAACTTCAACTGGCTGCAAATATTTGCCAACAGGCTGTCACTTGGTTGTTGGGTTTTTTAAAGACAACTTGATTCAGTTAAATCCTAATCACCAGTTCTGGTCCCTAAACATTAGAGCCAAAACCCAGCAGAATGGGGGTTTTATCCTCTAGTACGTGTAATCAATCAGAATTCTGTTGAAAAATTTTAAAAAGGAACTTAAGTTTTGACATGAAATGTTATATTGCCCTTTAGAACATATTACAGATATACACATTTTAAAGTTTAACAAGCATATAAACACTCCAAATGGTATTTGCTGCAACTACTAGAAATCTTGAATCACCTACCAGCCACTAACCGGGAAACTGCTCTTCAAAAAGAATGCTTTTGTCCTTAATAAATTCCTGATATTTGAATGCTATAAAAGTCATGTTCTTCCTATACATCATGCAAGTTAAAACTAGTACTACCAGGGTACACCACTCACCCATGTCAAAACAACACTAACACACGAAGGAAAAAGAAAGTTATTAATTTTATTATGTTTTGTAGTATTTCCCTACAGGAAAAGAATTAATTCCCATCAAGTGACTTGAATTAAAGCCTATAGACAAAAAAAAGTTAGTACCGGGTTACAATGTTGCACTTACTCCAAGTATGAGAAGTTATCTTTGAGTGTAACTCCCATACTTCATTTTGTGGGAGTCTTGTGCACAAGAACTAACCCTTTTTTCCATCAGCACCACTTATTCTGACAATATACCTCTCCCCTTTCCAAACCCCACAGCTCTTTAATACCCACAGCAGTCTGAGAATGTAACTGCTTGACATACAGTTAATATTATTTGGAGAGATTCTGTTTCCTTTCTAATTAACCCATGAAATAAGTTAACTCAGCTTTCGGCCTCCCCCAGCAATTATTTGTGGGACAGCACTCTCAGGCTCTGTAACACCCTCCAGGAGCAGGAAGCCACTGGGGATGTTCCCGGGCTGTTTGGGATGCCAGGGCTTCGCACGTGGACTGCGCCAGGGAAACCTCCAGCCGCACCGCTCCCTACCCGCTCCTCCGCACCCAGCACACAGGCTCAGTCCCACCAGGAAGGTAGAAGCACGTACAGGGAAACACAGATCCACGTTTATCTACAGAAGATTTATCCACAGGAGGGTCCATGGATTCTAAAACTCTTTTATCAACAATCCACTCATTAATAACTTCAGGTGACAGCACTTACTCAAAAAGACCCCGTACAGTTCTTATTCCCCGTCCTTAAGAGTTCTCTCCAATAAAAACACCTACTTGCCACATCTGGATGTCCACCCAGACGCATGTTTGGCATGTCTAATTTTAAATGAGATGGCTTTAATTAAATGAGCAGTGGGGATTTTTGGACACCATCAGAGTGCTGACCTTCAGGTCACAATTCAATGGAAGTGCATGGCCTGACACAACCCTCACCCAGCTCGCTGCAGCGCTGACAGCAGCCCCGGTGCCCAGAGCACTCAGGCTGCGCCAGAGGCTCTGGGCAGGGAAGGGAACCAAGCCCCGTCCCCCGAGCTTCACAGACTCTACCCAAGCAAGCCAGCTCCTGCACATCAGCATGACTACCACCACTATGTGGTATCACACATTTAGCTGGAATTCTCCCCAGTTTAAGCCCAAATTACAAACACTCAGTGATATACACATTAGCAAGTCAGAGGGAAGCGTTAATGGCAAAAGATATCCAAAGAGATCACAGTTTTTTGAACTCCCAATGGTTCAGTCGCACACCAGCACTATACTGGTGTCCTGCCCCATTTACCTGCTGCCAAAATTACACTAAATGCTGAAAAAGCAGCATTGAGAAACGCTACTGTATAAATCTCAAGTGTACAAATGAATTCCTTTCCCTACTTCCTTACAAAACACAGCATTTCACTCCAACATGTATTATACAAGTTCAAGGGGATAAAACAAGCCAATTGTAAACTACATCTGTAATTTCAATCAGAACACAACTGAGTAGAGGAAAAAAAAGTTTGCTGGTATTTTAGTTTAACTTAAATCCTTAAATCTGTCAATCACTTCCCTAAAGTTTTCATGGAAGGAGATTTCCCCATCAGCAACAAATACACAGAGAAGTAACACAGAATCACAGAATCTTCTAGGTTGGAAGGGACCTTAAAGATCATCTTGTCCAACCGTCAACCTAACTTTGACAAAAATAAACACCCGCACAACAAACAAGAAGCATCACCATCACTAAACCATACCTCCCAGCACTACATCAACCCGTCTTTTGAACACCTCCAGGGATGGTGCCTCACCCGCCTCCCTGGGCAGCCCATTCCAATGCCTGATAACCCTTTCGGTGAAAAAAAACATTTTTACACATCCAAGCCTGTGTTGTCTGTTCTTTCACAGTCACTAGGAGTGATTTGTTTGCTGTAACCCCTAACACATACTGCCAAGGTATGTACTAGCTCTCACTGCATTATAGCCCTGAGCTACTCTTTTTTTTTTTTTAAAAGCTTTCTCTGAAGATGACCATACAGCTACAACACCACCCCAGTTCCACATATACCAGTAAAACAAATTTTGAAACACCTTTGATTTCATAGTTACTTGAAACTAAGACATTGTGAAACACCCTAAATGAGTACTTAAGTTAGAAAATAGATGCTCTTGCAGGGAGCATTTTTACTAGTACTTGATCACTAACCCCCAAGCTTTGTGATTACACGTTACAGTACTAAGTAAAATATTCTTTATTTTTGAGAATATTCTGTTACTACTTCTGGATTATTTTAGAAAGGCAATGGCAGCAGATGCCTTCTTAATACAGCATTAACCATTTGGAAGACCATCTGTAACCATTAACAAAGGTTTTCCATACTGTTAGTAGAGCGTGTTCTTTCAAAGAGCCAAAATGTACCATTCTTCAAATTCTCAGGCCTTACCAAACAAAGCTGTGGTTTGTCAATCTAGTGCAATGAGTACCTCCAAAAGATTATTCAAAAAATAAGCATTATCTTAAAAATGCTACACTTGAAACTGAAAGTTTGCAGGAATTCACGATATAAAAGTCTAAATGGCTGCCAGCTAAACAACACACTTTAAGAAATCCAGTAAATTTATCATGCAAGACAACAGTAGTTAAAAAGCATTTTATCATACTGTTCTCCTACAAAAAGCGTGTCCAAAATGTGGCTGTATCCACTGTGGTGGAAAGCTTTGCCACACCTCCTATTAATAGTTTGTCACAAACTGAAAAGTGAGTATTTTCAAACATACTAAAAATTCTCTCAATTTTCAAAACTGCTGTGATGTGCTCTATCACTTTGAAGAGCTGTCTCTAAGGTGCAAATCCTGCACACCTCACCTCGGAGTAATCCAGTCCACTGTGTGGAGCCGTGCCTGTACCTGCACACCTTCTCACCTGCCTAAGACTGGACTCACCACAGCCACCACTTTTTCTGCTTGCCTGAAGCACAAGATTCCAACAGGATCAAGAAGCATCAGGGCTTTTTAGCATTTCTATCCACTCCCAGTGACACAAATCTCTGCAGTCTTTCTATTAAGAACTCCAGGGACATCTTCCAGAGATCCAACAAACAAGGAAATAAAAACCAATGCTCCTCTGCTGCTACAGCAGACAGCCCCTCCTGTCGTCCACAAAAGCTACTCCAGGTTGAAAATTTGCCAACAGAAAATGGCTGTTCATCTTAACAAAATTACATTCAAGGATGCCTATTCAGTTTCAAAGGCACCTTTGAGGAGAGGCACTTCAAATTCCAGAGGAAAGAGCTACAAAGCAGAGCAGGACATGCTAACACTGCTGGCGCTGCATGTTTCCGATAGACGGGCTCGCAGATGAGCTCAGCCAGACAGCAGACTATTACAGCAGTACCCGAGAGGCGCGTGTGAGGAGCTTCACCACTTGTCAGCACATGAACTTAAGGAAACCAGTGATGTTACACTGCAATTCTTCAGATGAAGTATTGAACTTAAACCATGAAGTGCACATTATATCAGTTTAACCTCCTGCAAGAGGGTGAGGAACACTCTTTACATCCTTCCTTTGCTTTGGAGATTTGCAGGCAGGCTGTCAAGAGCTCGCATACCCAGAGTTACCACAGAGAGTAAGGGCAATTCTTTGGCATCAGAGAGATTAATGTTGTGTTAAGGTTCAACAACCAAACAGTGGTTTTGCCTTCATGAGCCAAAACAAGCTAAAACCCATCAGTTAAAAAAAGAGTTAAATCCAGAAGTACTTTAGAGACTGAAAAGGACACAGCAACTAGACTAGCAAAAAGAATTTGCAGCCCCTCTGTATCTTCTAAACTCCCTGTCAAAATGCAGGGAAGGAAAGGCATGGCCCCACCACATGTCAACTGAAAAGACTCTGGATATACCAGTGAGAATACAGGTGGCTATACCATCAGCCTCGTTAGGACAGAGAGCAAGATCAAAAGAGCTCTCATTTTTAAATAGTAAAAGACACATCAAGTCTGAGCAAAGTAAAAGAAGTAAATTTCTTCCTGCACTGAAGGGGCACATCAGTGGCAAAGGGTGAGGACATTTCATTTGTACAGTTACAGGGGAGCAGGTGCAAGAGGACACATGCAAACAGGAGAGTAAATTTGGAACAATCAACAAACAGGACGAAAGCCATCACATACAGATTACTCTAGCAATGCTGAGCAATTGTAAATCCCTCTAAATGCTCTGCACCATCTAAATTTAGGCTTATTTGATAGACCATAAATGGGAATTTGTAGTTCAAGTTTCTCATTAGCTGCAGATACAAGTATTAAAGTTACAAGAAATAACCACAGGACAGGACTACATTTTGGCATACTCTACTGTCTGTATAGGAAATTTTAAGTATACCCCCCAGCTAAGAGAAAACAGAATATATACATTATTAAGGCAGACACTGAAATGTTTGAACCACTCCATAAACTTGCACTAAAACCGCTAAATAAGTTTAACAGAAGCCAAAAACATAAGGATATAGAAATGCACAATCAGGATTCCCAAACATCAACACTAACACACACCTGCAGCACTGAAATGACAAGAGAACCTCACCTCTTAAGATGTTAGTCCAAATAAATCCAGAATTACAAACATTAAATTGTAACCTGAAGACACATATTTGTTAAATTCACCATTCATGTACTAAAAATATTACACCCAGTCATTTAAAAATTATGATTTCAAGTTCTGGGAAGACTGCTGTCAATCTCCAAAGCATAAGATCAAAACTGAGTCCATTAGGAAAAAAAATAGGCATTTTCCCCTGTGCTTAACACTGCAAGAATGCATAATTTTTGTCAGTGACACTGTGTACAAGCACAGAAGACCTGGCATCAGTTGCCTTCAGAAAGGCATCAATATTACGTATGAAATCAAAATTTGAACCTGTAGCAGCAGAAGGTTCTTGGGTTCTAACAGCAACAGAAGAAGACTCGGTGTCTTCAACTTTTTCTTCCTGAAAACTGGCATCCGTACTGAGCGATGTGCTACGTGATGTGTTTCCAGGAGATCCTTGTTCACTGAAACTTTGGTCAGATTCAAGAGGAATTTGTAACTGGACTAGAATGGAGGAAAAAATTTTAATTGAGTAAAACTCACACAAAAGCATATTCCATAACATCAATACCTGCATTTATCGCATTACAGAGGAGACAAATATCCATCCGCGTTCAGACTGCTTGCTGTTGTATTAACACAAAATTAAGCTTTTACAACACAGCTACTTGTAACAACCCTCTACATTTAGAGCCACTTAGGAACACACAGGCTGCTAATTCTTTATAGCCTAAAACGGTACAGGTCTCCTCAAACTATTATCAGAGTTCCCCATGAAAGGGAAACGCAGTGAAGCACAGGGCAGAAAAAGGGATCATTACCTCCACCCAGACTAATATTAAAAGCACCCTGTTTTGGTGCTTTTAGTGTTCAACAAGAGGATTAAACTCTAAGTTTAGCATTTGTGTTACTTCTTCAATTTAAAAGTGTTAAAACTTAAACCCAACCACAACATTTCTGTTATTTTGCAAGCTATGGAGCTCTCTTTTTACAAGGCTGTTTGTCCTGGCCAGTTATCCCTCTACTGCTAAAGTTCCTCCCAGGAAATGCCAAGGTTACTGATGGAGAACAAATCAAACATAAAAGCCAATCACAGCAGCAGAAAGAGATGTAAATTTCCCCTGAGTTTCCTCTGCACTGCTGATGGAATCAGGTTTTAATTGTAGATATAGAGCCTGCAGGCTACAGAAATGAAAATACGGCACTTGCAACAACTAGATGACTGCCATGCCACCACAAATTCAGAGCGTACCAGGAAGCTGCTTACCCTTCTCAGATTCCTTTTGGTTAGATACTGCATCTTTCAAAGGCTGTGTTTCCGTTGAAGTTGTGACATGATCTGTATTTATAATCCCATGGCTAATACTAGATGAGAGTCTTGAAGACCGTCTCCTTATCTGGTCTCTTTCAGGGTCATCTGAAGAGTTCTTCAATTTTTCCTGAGCTTGAACAGAAAAATTCAATGGTGCCATGCAGTTACAGAATTACTAAACAGCTCACAAGCAAACTTTAAAGACTTCTCCCAGTGACAGTTTGAAGTGTGTTTTTTAAGGACTGTGGTTAATAGCAAAAGCTGGCGATAAGACCTCTCTGTAAAAGCTACAGCCATATTAACAGTTATAATTAAGCATAAAAATAGAGCAAAAGCCTATCTTATAAGTGTCTCAACTTTTTCTTTTAGCACCAGATTTGAAGTAAGACTACAAATCAGGATCTCACTGGTGAAACTTCGCTTTAAATAGTAGCTGTCCCACAGACATAAATAATACCAGAAATACGATTCAGACACACAAACAACTTGGACCTGAAGCTGGATAACGTATGTGCATTGAAGTTTTAATCCTTTGTGGTCCTATGGAAGGGAAAGACAGCCCTCTTCAGATCCTCATCCCCTTGTTCATGATAATACTATGGAGAATCTAATTTTCTTTCCTCATCACTACCCTCAACTTCAACATCACTACACAGTATACCAAGATAAAGCAGAAGCTATTAGATTGCAGTGACACAAATATTTATTTAGAATTAAAGTTTCTTTGCTAAGCAATGTGGGAGATCCTCCATCTAGTAACTAAGGAGTTTCTACAACTAGAAAAATGCTTTTATAACCTTCTACATATTGGAAGCGATATCATCACTGCCACCCCTATGTTTATGAACTTCTGCATCAAGACTCACGCCTGTGGTTCCTTTGTTCATATCCACTTACCAGATTTAGGAGTGAATTTCAGCATGATGATGCTACATATGAATGGGCAATCTAATAAAAACAGGTGCTGCATTTCAGCCATGTCACGTATCACAGTTCAAGGTTAATACTACAGACTTTCTTTCTCCCTACAGTTAAGCTTCAAGAACTTTTATGATCAAATACTGTGAGAGTTGAATACCGAAAAAATACTCACACAAGTTTTTTTCAATCCTGGGACGCTTTGATGGAACTTCACCTCCTTTTGGTATTTTCCGACGTCTTAACTCCAAAGTTATGGGCTGCAGTGTCTGAGAACTTGGCTCTACGTATTTAGATAGAGAGCAAAAATGGAATGAATATAAAGCTGCAAAACTTTTTGAACCATAATTCCCAAGACTCACAACTTAAAATACTGGACTTGCATAAGTACAGTTTCACATGGCTCCCCAAGTCTACGCATTAGCACTTAATCCTATGTAGACATGTTTTATAATATATGAAGATTACTTGCCTAAAACTAACCTCTGACCAAACCACTGAAGCTCCAAACCTGACTAACAAGTATGCTCTCAGCTGTCCTAAGCAAGACTGAACAAAGATGAGTTTATATTTTTTTTCAAGTTTCTAGAGACTTAGGCTGTGAAAGAGCAAGACTGTTCTTTTTGGTCCTTTAGGGAAGTTCATAAGGGTTCTGATACAATGGCCTAAACATTTAAGTCTAGCTACATACCCGTTGGAGGTGTTATTGGCGGTCTTCCACGTTTTCGTTTAGTTTCTTTTGCGTTTTCCTGTGGACTCTTTATAATGTCATTCTCAGGCTTCTTCTCAATTTGTGTATCTACTGAATATTCCATATCATTCTCTGATATATTCTCTTTATCTTCTTTTCCATTCTTAGATATATTCTTTTCTGAGATCTTGCCTTTTTCTGAGATGACTATTAATTTTCCTTCTTTATCAGGTTGCTTAACTCTTTTCTCAGACTTTAATGTCTTTTCATCCTTGTCTTTCTTTGCATTACCTGTTGCTTTCCTCCGTTCTTTAAATTTCTCCCGTTTTTCAGGAGAAGACGGAATTTCATTACCTCTTTCCTTAGGCTTAGCATTACCCACGATATTCTAGAATAAAGAGAATGACATGAAAATTAACTTATTGCAATCTCAAAATCCTCCCCCACCTTTGTATTTAGCAGATTTGCATCCTTGTCCAATATTTCAAATGATAAAAGCTTACACTCTATTGCAACCCACAGATTAAAACCTAGAGGCACTTGAACTGTTCAAGGACCTACGCAGTGTCAACAGGACAGTGCAACGCATTCATGCTTTTCATACCTCCATGGTGTACGAGATTTGCTGTTTCTTCATTCCCATGTGCAGATTAGCTCAATTCTAGCTTGCACAGTACTACTTGCCTGAAGGGCAAAGGGGCCCAGGAAGGCTGGAGACTCTTCAAGAAGGAAATCTTAAAAGGCCCAGGAGCAGGCTGTCCCCGTGCGGCGTAATTTTAAAGGGCGGGAAAAATGGCCAGGCTGGTTGAACAAGGAACTTTTGATGGGACTTAGGGGAAAAAAGGAGGGTTTACCACCTTTGGAAGAAAGGACAGGCATCTCTGGAGGAGTACAGAGATCTTATTAGGTTACACAGAGAAAAAATTAGGGAGGGCAAAAGCCCACCTGGAACTCAACCTGACAATTAATATAAGGGACAACAAAAAAAGTTTTTATAAATACATCAACAAAAAGAGAGTCAGGGAGAATGTCCATGCCTTACGGATACGGAGGAGAACATTGCAACCAAGGATGAGGAGAAGGCTGAGACACTTAATGCCTTTTTTGCCTCCATCTTCAATAGTCAGCCCCGCTACCCTCAGGGTGTTCAGCCTCCTGAGCTGGACGATAAGGATGGAGAGCAGAGCACACCCCCCCATAATCCAGGAGGAAGTAGTTAAAGGACAGGCATCTCTGGAGGAGTACAGAGATCTTATTAGGTTACACAGAGAAAAAATTAGGGAGGGCAAAAGCCCACCTGGAACTCAACCTGACAATTAATATAAGGGACAACAAAAAAAGTTTTTATAAATACATCAACAAAAAGAGAGTCAGGGAGAATGTCCATGCCTTACGGATACGGAGGAGAACATTGCAACCAAGGATGAGGAGAAGGCTGAGACACTTAATGCCTTTTTTGCCTCCATCTTCAATAGTCAGCCCCGCTACCCTCAGGGTGTTCAGCCTCCTGAGCTGGACGATAAGGATGGAGAGCAGAGCACACCCCCCCATAATCCAGGAGGAAGTAGTTAATGATCTTCTTCTGCACCTAGACACGCTAAGTCTATGGGACTGGATGAGATCCACCCAAGGGTACTCAGGGAACTGGCAGGAGAGCTCACCAAGGCATGCTCTATCATTTATCAACAATCCTGGTCAACAGGGGAGGTACCAGATGACTGGAGGGCAGACAGTGTGACACCCATCTAGAAGAAGGGCTGGAAGGAGGATCCAGGAAACTACAGGCCTGTCATACTGGGAAAGATCATGGAGAGGATCATCTTGAGCGAGCTCTCACGGCAAGTGCAGAGCAGCCAAGGGGTCAGGGCCAGCCAGCATGGGTTTATGAAACGGGAGGTCTTGCTTAACCAACCTGACCTCTTTCTATGACCACGTGACCTGCCTTCTCGCTGGAGGGAAGGCTGTGGATGTTGTCTACCTGGACTTTGGCAAGGCCTTTGACACTGTCTCCCACAGTGTTCTCCTGGAGAAGCTGGTGAATCACAGCATAGACAAGTGTACTCTTCACTGGGTAAAAAAAACTGGCTGGATGGCTGTGCCCAGAGAGTTGTGATTGATGGGGTGAAATCTTGTTGGTGGCCCTTCAGCAGCGGCGTCCCTCAGGGTTCAGTTTTGGGGCCAGTCTTGTTTAACATCTTTATTGATGATCTGGATGAGGGGATTGAGTACACCCTCAGTAAGTTTGCAGATGACACCAAACTAGGTGTTGATCTGCTTGAGGGTTGGAAGGCCCTACAGAGGGACCTGGACAGGCTGGCTGAATGGGCCAAGGCCAATTGTATAAGGTTCAATAAGGCCAAGCGCCAGGTCCTGCATTCCAGTCACACCAACCCGAGGCAATGCTACAGCCTTGGGGAAGAGTGGCTGCAAAGCTGCCCAGCAGAAAAGAACCTGGGGGAGTTGGTGGACAGCCAGCTTAACGTGAGCCAGCAGTGTGCCCAGGTGGCCAAGAAGGCCAATGGCATCCTGGCCTGTATCAGGAATAGCATGGCCAGCAGGAGGAGGGAAGTCATGGTGCCTCTGTACTGGGCACTGGTGAGGCCTCACCTCGAGTGCTGTGTTCAGTTCTGGGCCCCTCACTACAGGAAGGACATTGAAGTGCTGGAGCGTGTCCAGAGGAGAGCCACCAAGCTGGTGAGGGGTCTGGAGAACAAGTCCTATGAGGAGAGGGTGAGGGAACTGGGCATGTTTAGTTTGGAGAAGAGGAGGCTGCGGGGAGACCTCATTGCCCTCTACAACTCCCTGAAAGGAGGCTGTAGAGAGGTGGGGGTTGGCCTCTTCTCCCAAGGGAATAATGACAGGAGCAGAGGAAATGGTCTGAAGTTGCGGCAGGGGAGGTTTACATTAGATATTTGGAAGGATTACTTTCCTGAGAGGGTGGTCAGGCACTGGAACAGCCTGCCCAGGGAGGTGGTGGAGTCACCATCCCTGGAGGTTATTTAAGAAACATGTAGACATGGCTCTTCAGGTCATGCTCTAGTGGCCCAGATTGTTGGGTTGAGGGTTTTTGGTTTTGTTTTTGGGGTTTTTTTGGTGAGTGTGTGTATGGTTTGACTCGATCTCAAAGGTCCCTTCCAACCATGAAGATTCTGTGATTCTGCAATACTTAAAGTCTACTTGGGACACTGAAGAAAGAGTAGGAGTCAAGAGAGAAGCACAAACAGCTCAGTCACATGGATAAAAAAAAAATTATTTTCCTTTCACAAAAGTGTCTCATTCAGACTACACCAGTATTTAGCTTGTAATTAGTATGTTTCAGTCATGTAAAGCAACTGCAATGATCAACTCAATCAGGAACCACATGATGTTAAAATATACATATTTAAATTTAAAGACAAATGTTAAACTTTGTCTTCCTGTAATTTGTGTTCAGCATGTGTTCAGCATTACGGATGAAAATCCTTAATAGCCCCTGGGCAAAAAGAAACTGATACAATATTCAACCATAACCTCATTTCCCCATAGTTCCCCCTATGACACCACCAAACTGGTAAGAACACCCCTATATCAACAGCTCACTGCTACTCTATGTCCTCCATTTTGTGATGAGGTTTCACATTAACACCACCTGGGAGGGATACCAATTTTGGTTTTTTCCCCATTCCAATGATCCTGCTACAGGCTGTCACAGAACTTCTCTGGTCAGATGAACAGAAATCTTCTAACTTTGTGCCTGGATTAATAATTTATATTTGGTCATGTGTCAACACCATCTTTAGTTGAATTAACTTCCCTCTTCTTGTCGCCTGATAACTTGAAGCATTGAAGAGCAACCATATTCCTTCCCAGGCAATGTTCTGCAAGGCACAACAAGCTTAAACTTTGAACAAGAAGAAGAGGACAAGAAAGGCTAAATACCTCAATAGCTCTTCAGGGAAAAAAAGCCGAACATGTGATTTGAATTATACAAAACTCTGAGACTACACATAAGACTCACCATCTCCTTGTATATACACTACATCTTTCCTCTTCCTATCCCAGTCTTCTTCTATGTGGCTCACATGAACTGATACTTTAGGAGATTGCCATTTTAAGACCACAGTCCCAAGAAATAATCTTGGTGCAATAAATGGTGAATGTGCAATCTCCTCCACCTTCTATAATATTATTTCAACCATTGTTGGCACAGAGGTGACCAAAAAAAAGTCACTTCCTAAAAATGTGAGATCAAAGTGCTGTATATTTCATGAAAACAGCTAAGCAAAAGGAAAAAAATATCTTTTCCTTCTTAGGTGTCTGAGCACCATTTTTACCAGACATCATAAAAATCCGTCTTCTGTAAAATCCTTAAGTGCCACAGCCATGAGAGAAGTTTCAGTGGAAACTCAAACATCACTAAAAAATCAACCTTCAGACACTAGGTTTTATCAGTTGTGCTGTTCATAGAACAATCTCATTTCAATCAAGTATGTGGTACTGGAACACACATAAACCATCTTAGTCAACTCTCAAGAAACTGAGCCATAAATACAGTATGAACTCTTAGAAGCTGTGAGCCCCTGCATAAGTACATCCACAGGGTGCAGGTCATTAGCATTTTAACATCAGTGTTCAGTACAGCATGTTACAGCCTCTACGTAGGGACAGAGTAACACCATCATTAAAGAAAAGATGACCAGCTTACATCACTCTCTTAAAACAGGTAGTTTGGGGGTCTTTTTTTTTTTTTTAGAACAGCTTAGACATCAGCCATATGTGTCTTCATGGCTACAGTCTCGCCTACAGGAACATGATGCTTCCCTCCACTGCCAGCATGCTGCTACATTAGTGCTGTACCTGAATCCACACCTTAAGGAGCTTACATTCACAACTGAATTTTGAGCTCTCCGTTGGTGCGATGTTTTTTGGGGAGCTTGGTTGCAGTTGTTTTTTGTTCTTACACTTTACTTCTGATAGCGTAAGCAGAGCTCACTAGGAAATTCTCCCTGTATGCTATTTATGCTAAAGGCCAGAAGAAAATGTTCTAGTGTAAGTTATCTCTTAGGTTAAGAGCAGTCTTCCCAGTCTTCCCAGTGGTTAAATGGAGAAGAAAACTTAAAATCCCTTTCAAAACCTACCCAAAGCTAGGAAAGAAACATGAAACTCCCTAAAGGAGAGAGAAGACAATATTTTGCCTTTCTTATGCAGAATATTTCATAAGATTCTTCAACTTCATCTATTTACGGTTAAATATGGTAGAAATATTTCTCATGGCAATGAAGATTCTTTAGGTAGTTTCCTTGCGAATATTAGTCAACCCTCAACCAGGCACAATTATTACAATTTGAAAGATATTAAGAGCACTTTGTGGCAAATCTGAAATAATTTTCCCTCCCAGCCTGGCAAATAACAACCTGGAGACCTCCAAGGAATGGCACGCCTCTTCACAACAGTGACAGGTTTAAATTGTACTCATTAATATTCATTATTGGAATCTGTATTTAAGACTCGTGTTGAGGGGAGAGATTAAATTTCTTTGCTCAAAATTAAAAGTTCCAGAAAACTAAAAGCATAAGGCATGACTAAAACCCACAGGCTACAGCTACCGCACAGAAACATGCGGAAAGATTTCAAACTTAACACCATTCCTATAAGGAATTCCTACTTAAGAAGTTTTAACTAAGTTCCACAGGACTAGAACTAGTCAGGTTTTCCTACAAAGCGCCTACATATGAAAACTCAAGTACAAAGCAGCACTTCTTCCTCCTCACCATGAGCAGACAATTTTTTTTTTTTTTTTTTTTGGATGGCTCACTACTACTTTCCATCATGAGCTGAACCCACAGCATTGAGCAGGTAAAGGGTTGGTAGAACAGTCAAACCATAGAAGCAGAACGTGGGTTAGTAAAAAAAAAAAAAAGTTTCTCTTCTCATAGCTTCCATAAAAGGTTCAAGACAATCAAATAGTTACTTTGGTACAGAATTGTTTCTGTCTGCTCCACAGTCCCCATCACTTAATTTTTAAGATATATGCGTTTAAATTCATCTCAAACAGGCAAAACAACCAAAGTGTGTTTCAATAACCTACCACTAGCTTCAATATGTACATTCTGAATCTTCCAATGATATAATTAAAACAGGTTTCTAAAAGTTTTTTATTTATATGTCTAACTTCTTTAGTTCAAGAGGCACATTAATGGGGACATGAACCTGAGAGCTTTGCACATCATATCATGAATATTTGCATAACCTTTTCATTTTAACAGATTTTACTTCAGATGTATTGTATGTTAGCAACAGAGATGATGTATTCATTTCGTATTTTATAATTCATCAAATCTAGCCACCTGAACTGTCAATGTTAGAATACACTAGTAGTATGAACACAATGCTTACCTGATCTTTGGAAAAAGCTTTGACATGAATGTTTTTGACAGTCTGAACTACACCATCATAAAATTTCACAGTGTATGTACCTAAAATTTCAAAATAAAGCACAAGATTTTAAAGATCAGAAGTTGTTTAACAAAGCGTTTGCTAACAGCTCCAATACTGCAGCTGCATATTTAGCTCTAGATAAAAGCTGCTGTAATTAGAAACTTCAACAGCAGAGGTCTTATCATAGGCCAGGAAAGCGAGAAACAGTGAAGTTACCAAAATAATTATGGTAAGCATAAAGATGCACATCTAAGCTTAGAGCTACTCCTTAGATATGTTTTCCTCACAAAACCCAAAAATTATTTTCAGTGGAATACTCTACAGACTTTTTCTCCTAGATCTTACAACAGGTAGTCAATCTAAAGAAAGCACACCACAAGCAGCAGTCCTTCATGGTTCCTTACTGATATTCAAAGAAGAGAAGCATGGCTGTGCTTTTTTCCCCTTATTTGTAAAGTGTTTTTTTTTTGGCTCCGACACTAGTTTACTGCAGTTACATGCATCTTTTTACATGCCCAGAGAGGTGGTGGAGTCTCCATCTCTGGAAACATTCAAAATCCACCTGGATGCACTTCTGTGCAACCTGCTCTGGGTGACCCTGCTTTGGCAGAGGGTTGGACTAGGTGATCTCCAGAGGTCCCTTCAAACCCCTACAATTCCATGGGGTTCTGTGAATCTCTTGATACTACACTTAAGAAGAAACAACTTTTCCCAAATACATACTTAAAGCAATTCTTGGCTGGATATCCCAGCATAAAGTTCTTTCATCTCATGAAAAGGTTGAGAGGTTATGTTAAAAAAAATTGATGGCAGGCCAAAAGATATAATTGAAAATAAAACTTTGCATAGTTGTCTGCTGTACTATCTCTTCACCTAAATAAAAAGGTTAGAATACAATTAAAAATGCATTACTAACAAGCACAACAAAAGTGACTCCTTACCATCTTTGTTAACAGAAGTAACTTTGGCTGGATAGAAGCGACAATCAGACCAGCATGCCAATACCTGATCATTTATATGAAATCCCTAGAAGACAGTAGTTAAAAGCGTTTTCATCTGAGAGTTACTGAAACATACAACTTCATTAACACACCAAAGTGATTAGTTTTCCAATATTTAAAATAAATTATAAACTTATACAGCAGGCAACACAGCAACAGTGAAATATTTTAATGGTCATAATTCATACAACTGCACTTTAAACTGTTAGATACTCAAACGTTCTCTATTTTCTACTTACTGCACAACCTTCTTCTTCATGTAATCCTTCTTTTCTTAACTGTATTTTCTCTAAGGGACGCAAATAAGGACTGTCCCAACAAAACCATTCATCATATCTATGGTTCCAGCGTTTGAAATGGATAAGTACTTTTCCTTCTTCATAATCAATTTCTTCAATGTGAGCTGGATACCTGGTCAAAAGGTAGATTAAAATATTTCAATTAGGAATAAGGCATGCTGTTATCACACACTTAACTACGGTACAAAACATTACACAAATGGAGCCTTCTGCATGATCAAAAGCAAAATATCTGAAGATCTGCTCGATCAGGTGGGATAGGGAGCTGAGTAACTACAGCTAACAAACATCAAATAATATTAAGCTTGCAGAAACTAAAGTATCACTCATATAAGCAATAAAGATGTTACAACTTGCCTAAGAGCTCAGCACAGAACAGAATCCCAAAACTTGCAAAGGAAAACATTGGGTGCAGGAAGAGGAGATAACTAAGGAGTTCTTAGTCTGGGGTGGAAAAAAATTTTAACTGGAGATCAAGGAGTCAGAAAAATCTTCCCTACAATTAGAAATTTCACACATTAACCCAACTGATAGCTTCAGCTCCCTCTTATCAAGAGTTACACCTGGAGGTCAATACACTCACTTCTCTCAGAGATAACCATCAATAGGCATCATGAATCATCTTCCCAGTGTAACAGCAAAAGTCTAGCAGGCACACTAAACCTAATTTAAGTTTTAGATTCTCAAAGTTAAATTTCATCTGCAGAGTCCTGGGACATTTAAATAAAAATCTCTCAGTATATTACAAGTATAGGAATCTAACATGAGCCAAATTCAGCTTTTTCTAAACAGGGAGATCTCATGAACTATGAATTTCTTTAATTGCATTGGTAATTTGTAACTTCAGAATCAGCACATTTCAATATCCCAGCCAAAGATACCATCCCAAGTATTGATGTTTCCCCCTCCACAATAATAATGCCAGGAGAAAATCTTCACTTGTCAGTATTTTCAGTTTTTTGTGGAAGAAAGGCAAAGTACCACTGAACTCTTGAACAAAGCTGGAGGAAAAATAAACACCCAAATCTACAAGTGTTCTTTACCCGATAAAAGCCACTTGAAAAGAAAGAACAAGCAGTAGAAAGAAACAGCATCTTGAAAGGATCAAGCCTAATGCTAAAAATAAAACCCAGACATGTCACAATTAAGACCTAAACACAACACAGACTACCATTCTAGAATCCTACAGGAATGAAAATCTACTGACAACTGAAACTCTTCAGCAGACCTGAGACACAGCCAGTCATGATTTCTTCAAAAAGCGCTACCAACAGGCCATGCTGGAGCCTTACGCTGCAACCACAGACGAAGGCCCTGGCTCACACTCGATGCCACCTGCCCCAAGCTATACCACTAGTTCATCCCAGTACGTTATCAGAACAGACACACCAAAGGCTGTGGGGGAGATGAAGACAGATGGGAGATACTTATGGTATGGACATCTCTAAAGGGTTACCAGTCTCCTAGGAAGAAAGTAACTTCCTTTATGCGACAGTCTACATATTTCATATCTAGATAACCCCAAGCACTGCCCTACACAGGTTCATGAGGGGGGAAATAGTCACAGTCTTTCTTGTACAACAACATAGTTCTATTAAACATAGTTTATTCTTAGATATCTCAGCAACTGCCTATCACCAAGTACAGGTAATAACAAAGATCAGTACCCAGTTCCCTACAAAGTGCAGCAAAAATGGAGGTAGGAATTCCCAGGTCCTCTCAACAAGGACACCTGCCAGAAGGACACTTTTACCATCAAGAATCAAATTGAACTAGGGCTTGTCCAGATCCTTGAAGATCAAGATGGAAGCTGATAACTGCCGAGTCAGTATTCTGTCACTGTAAGCAGATAACCACTGGTAAACACACTTGTTTCACTAACCTTCTCCTACTGGGGAGAGAGAAGCCCAAGTGACAGAAGCAAATGACTATATAATGCAAGACTATTCCCTGCTTCATACCCGATAAAAGGAGGAACCTTCTCCACAAGAACCATCACCCGAGAACCATTCACCAGCATCACCTACACCTATCCCACCTCACCTTCTGGAGACTCCCTTGATGGGGAAACATGCTGATTTAATCACCAAGAACAGCAAAAACATACCTGACAATGAGACCAAATTTCAGCCTGGTTGAGAGCCAGTGTGGGTGAACTGGTGCTCTCAGCCAGCTCCTGTGTAACATGCTGCTGAATCTGAACAAATCTTCTCCTTCTGAAGCAACCAGCATCAGCAAACATATGTTCAGTGCTCTTGCCTGGAATATAGCAAACCTATGAGAAGCCCTGCTAGACCTACCCACAAACTTGGACAGCTCCCCCTGACACCACCTTTCTTTCAGATGCAAAACACAGTGCTGGAAACTCTGAAACAAAGGACAAAGGTTCTTGAGTTCTCAACCACCCTGAGCACTCCGCACTGACACTGCACTCCTTCCTCCAACATCTGTACCCCAGCCTCCAAAGCACTGAACAAGTGTGCTACACCAGCAAGCAGAAGCCCTCACAGACCAATAAAGAGGAGTAACAGAGCATATCAATACACGCACCAAAAAGCCTGTGAACATGCCAAGGGGTAGAAGCAACTTAAAAAGAAATTCAGACTTGTTTATCAAGAAAACACAATATGGGAGGACACACAGAAAACCAATAGCTGAAGCCTAGCTAAGGCTTGAAAAAGAGTACAAATGCCATGTCTTCAGGGATGGCCCAACTCATCCTCCCCCAAACCACAATGGGAGCACTTAGCTGACTCCACAGATTTTCAAGACATCTAACTGGGTAAGAAATCCCCAATTGGTACTGATTAAATACTGTGAAAAACAAGCTGAGATCAGACACATATTGGGAGGGCAAAACAAGTAGTCTTCAAGCTCAATTCAAGAGGAAAGATGAGCTTGTACCTTTCAAGGCCTTATGCACTTTCTAAACAGTAAGGAAAAACCTCCAAGATGCCCAAACTGCTGGCATTAATTCTGGTAAGAACCCAAGTGACATTCAAAAGCTCAGACAGCATAACTCTCCAAAGAGGGTAAGCAATAACTGGCAACTTCAGACTACTGCTGTCAAAGCACAGTAGACAATACAGAAATAGATTTCTTGTGGACACAAGGGTGAAACTATCCTCTTCTGGAAAGATGCAAGTATCTGGAAATTCATAATCAGAGTGCCGACCGCAGCAGTTCCTACCCCTCACTCCTGGACTAGCCTGTGTCCCTTCTACTTTCCTGTATGCCAAAATGGAATTGCTGTCAACGCCCTCTCTCTCGGAGGGAGAGACAAGCTTACTGCAGTTAGAGCAATGCCGAGTGGAAAGAAAGCATCTAGGAGAACGAATATCATGGAGGACAACAGCTATGGGGTTTCATCTTGTCACTACTGAGACAAAGTCCTGACAGCATGAGCAATCAAACTAGGGAGACTGAGAGTCTAAACTTTAACACAGTAGCACAACACTAACAACACTAATCTTGTTTTCAATACTCAAGAGCCTCAACCAGAATCAAACCTCTTCGTAATCCTTTTACTCACACAACAGAAGAAATTGAAGAGGTGTCATTACAATAAGGTAACACAACAGGTGTCATCATTTCCCTACTGTAGGCATCCAGTGCAGAGTCATGCTCTTTCTGGTAACTGAGGATGTTTGCAGCCAGCCAGCACTGAGGAGTAGCTGATCTGATGCACAGAGTTTCAAGAACTCGGTTCAGCTGGGACAGTGTGTTTGTCCTTAATTACAGCTAGTTTCTCTGGGATCTCTCTGTTGAGGACTGCATTACTGGAGCAGTCCCACTACTCCATCATCTGAACTCCACCACCAGGTACACCAAGGGACCTTTCAGCACATATGGAGGCACTGCCTGATGGCCAGAGCTCTCTCCCTTTAGTGTCCTGACATCAGACACTGTCACAAAGCCTTTCATGACAGCTTTGATGTCTCAACCAAGCCCTAAGAACCAAAAAGTACACACTGTACTCCCTGGAGTTTGAGTCTAGGAGGTGATGCACCAGGAACTGAAGTGCAATTCCAATACATTATGATTCTAGATACAAAAATGCAACCTTTGACTAAAAGTTCTAAAGATGCAAAATTCACTTTGCACTTTGGTAAGGAGCAGACTCTGTATTGACTACTCTGCTGGCATACACAATTTTTTTTTCCTCTTCAACAGGGTTGTCATCACATCCAAACAACCTGAAAGTCCTGAACTAGCATTTCAGGGCATAAGCCACCGCCATGAAAGGCAGGTAAGTGGGGCTCTGACATGAAATGCTTTCCAAAGCACTTCTATCTGAGAAGCAATACTGGCCTGCTGTGTTTGGTAGTGAGCACAGAAATCAAAGCCAGCCCTCTGATCAAACAACAGACTTCTGCTTAAGTGCCAACATAGCAACTAATATACATAAAACAAAAGCTTGGACCTCTGAAGGTCCAGCACTGGGAAAAGCAGATATCAGCAAACTAAAAGTTTTCTATTCACATAAAAGGTCAGAGAGTGATCCTGTTCATGCAGCAGCAGGTGAAAGGAGCTGGGGAAAAAAAGAAATCTGCTGTCCTCTACAAATCCACACTTGGGGGTGCAGGGGCACAGGAGTCTGTCACCACTGCCATTGCTAAGAGAAAACAAGTCCCCAGCTCTTACAAGTCTTGGTTCACAAACCCTGAAAACAGAAATTGACAGAGATAAGAGTCAAGGAAACATGGACTTTCTGACCCAGGTTTCAAAAGCTTAGCAAGCAAAGGAAAACTTTCAGAACTGGACAGTTAATAACTAAAAGTTCTTAGACCAAAGAACTGCAAAACTCTATGCTTAAGATAGGTCATTTAAGATTAACTGTTTTTGAAAAACAAACAACACGGCTTGGTTTTGGACATGCAGCATATCCAAAGCTCAAGTTCAAGCCAAGGGTTATGCGGAAAGTAGAGCAGCTCTTGAATTCCCTCCCACAGAGTTTTCCCATGCAAGAGCTGCTTAGTCCCATACCTTGAGATACTGTTATTGTCCAAACATGTCAGAAAGGTAACAGCCACGGACACAAGTCATTAGGCTTACTCAAACACGACCTATACTAAACTGCATCTTTAATAAGCCTACATTACAGACAGGCTAAGAAATCTCATTTTTGTAGGCATGACTTTTTTGCTGTATAAACAAAGCTCAAGAATACAAGAAATCCATGCAGATTTAGACTGAAGCCCCACCTACACAGTTCTTGGTTACACAGGAAAGCCAACACAACATACAAGTATGATTAATGTTCGTACTTCATGTTCTTTCCGTGAAGAGTCATGTTTACTCATTTTCACAATTCCAACCCCTAGTACCTAGAAAGTAGACAAATACTCTGCACACAACCACGATGTTTTAGAACAAGTCCCCTGTGTCTAAGGCAGTGCTCTATCCTTCTGGGATGTCCAGGTGCTTTTCAACACTGTGACTTCCACATGGCAGGTTCCAGAGCATAAAGTATAATCATATCTAACCCACACAGACTCTCCAATAAAAGACAACCATAGCTGATTTCAGGAGACAGGAGATAATCTTGAGGAGCTAATAAAACCAAATTAATTCCTGTATTTAAGAAGTCTTTGACTCCAGCGATTTCCATCATATGCCTCATTCAGTGACCTTTATTAAATGCTGATTTTTTGAGCTGACTTTCTAAAGTGAACAGAGTTGGAAGGCTCAAAGTTAGCCCAAGTAACTTTTAGGCCCGTTTTTCCCTTCCCTTGACTGCAGTGGTTAGTCAAGAAAAGTGCTCTTCCTCACAACTGAAGTCTGCAAGACAGGCTCCAGAGTAGTCTTCATAGTGTGGAATATGTTTCCCACCAATTTCTTTAATTCTAAAGCTGACCACGCTCAAATGTGCACGGGCTGTAACAATTTCAATCAGAGTTTAAAGCCTATGAGTTCACAACAACAACGGGAATGGAAATAGTAAGGAACCACCTTGGGTATTCTGTACTGCAAAGGATTTCTCTCTCCATGATGTCTGCTCTGCAATCCATGTATAGCACAGAACTTAAAGTATGAATTCAGGAGTACCACAGTCTGAAGTCCCACTACATTTGAGTAGTACTATTTTCCAGACACAGATAGCACCAGTACGCTTCTTTTTAAGGGCCAGCACAACATATCAGCATCTACTGCCCAATTCAACCACTGGTATACAAACTTTTATAAATTAACTACTTTCCTACAAACCAATGACCAGGACTCTAAATATTGTACCAATACAAAATGTTTAAGATATTAAAAACTTAAGAGTTAATATAATATGAATGGTTTTAAAAAAATACCAGGTTTTTAATCTGTCACGGGCTTCCAACTGGGCTCCCACCTCAAAGTTGATCCCTCTTCTATTCGGAGGATGTTTTGTCATTTTGTAATATCAACACTGCTGATTTTATTCCCCTGAAAAATGCAATTAAATATCAATCACTAATCAAGACATACACAAAATAAGCTTATGCACTATAATCCCCCAAAGCTATATGTTAAGGGACCTCTGTATTTTTAGTTTGCAGAAAGTAATGGTGGCAATTATCTCTTAAACAAGAGTTCCCAACTGACAGCATACAGAATGTGTTCAAAATGGTAGCTCCTGGACCATTAAAGATTGAAATTCAACCTTTGTCCACAACTCCAACGTCCAGGTCAATTAAAAACTCTTAACCCAATGTTTATTCACAACTGAGATAGAAGTTTCATTATATTCTCTCCCCCTCCCGGTTTTGATGAAAACAAGAAATCCAGTAAACAGGAACTGGGCAAAACCAAACACAATAACAATCCTTCAGCTAACATGTTAGTGAAACACTGAAGAACACTATGTCACCTCATCACTAGAAATGCAATAGAGTTCAAAGACATTAGAAATACATAGTTTCTTGCAAATGTGCAAGTAATACAGACAGTTTTTTAAAACTGATTACAATTTTAGAAGACTGTCTATACAGCTTGCATATCTGCATTGCTTTCTTCCCAATTCTCCACCACTTTAACCAGAAAATAAAAAGACCCTTCAGTAAGACTGGTTTCCAACAGTTAATACAAAGGTTTAAAGATCTTGCCAAAGTAGTTTTTCTCAAGGTATATTTAGTGAAAAGCCTGATCAAGAGCTATTTTTTCCCCAAACTTTTGTCAGTTTCCCACAATTATAAAAGATACAAATTATGATCCATTCCTGTAGTCTTCAAGCTCACAAGATCCAAAAACAGAAATGAATTTTATTCAATACTGTCCTCCTTACAGTAAGGCTGTATCCCAAAGAGTTAATTACAGATGTATAAAATAAACACATGTTAAATTAGAAAACTTTCTAGTTTTACACTACAAGACTAAGAATATATGCACTGACAACAAAAATAAGCAGCAGCCTTTTGGTTCACACAACACATAAACAGCAATGATATAGCTGCATCTATAAAAGGATTAACACTATTTTATGAAGAACTACTCTAACTTCAAGTGTGGTTGAGAGATCTTTAGGAAAGTCATACAGCTTCTACTGTAAGGAAAAGCTACTCCATTGACACACTTTACACAAGGCCATTTGGCAAGGGCTGGTCCTGGTGGCACCCCCACCACCTCAAGTAACCACATTGCAAAGAAACTGCTCTACCAGATGATCTCCTCTACAGTGTCACTTTTAGGTTTGTCTTCACTATCATTAAAGCAGCCTGCAACAGTACAGGAAAAAAACATGCTACTGACTGTAAGGTCAATTCCCAGTGATCCACAACAGTGATCTACAACAAAAGAAACAAAAAGTTTTAGCCACCTAGGAGCTGAGAAAGATACTCTAGAAAAGTAACTTGCACTCTGATAAACTGCAAGTTTGCCTGGCATGGATCCAAATCAGTCCAGGAATGACTCGTCTTCTAATGTGTCTAGAGGTTGGGGCAGGGGGCCATTTACCTACCACCTCCATACCTTGTAATTGGGAAAGGAGAGGAGGGAAGGAAATTAAGGAAAAATTAGGCTGGTTGGGGTTTTACAATCTGATGAAAAATAAACAGTAAGAATTAAAGAAGATAATCTGGAAATCCAAATGGCAAAAGCAAAGCTATTCTTTTTTTAAAAAGTTTATCTACCCTCATCTCAAACATCCACTATTTTCTCTGCAGATTTACATCATAAAAATGCCACTTTCTCACACTAGCAATAGAATTTCATGCTTCCAAACGTGGAACAGACACACATTTTGCTTAACACTTGTAGGAGTAATTACAGCTGCAAAACAACTCTTGTCCTAGTAAACTTATTTCTCCTTTTCACATACAAAGACAACATACTCCTAGAAGTACATTATTGAAGCTCTCTACAGTTGCCCCTTCGGTAACGGCTGCAATCCTAAAGAACAGGAGTCATTTCAGCTCACCTACATGAAGCTGAAGAGGACCATACACATCTCCCAACTTCACTAACAGGATCTCATACAACAGGGCTTCCATAAATAAATGTCAATTTTGGTGAAGAAGGCCTTGCTATAGTTTCAGTCAAATATTAAAAAAACCTACAAGTTATCACAAGTAAAGGGAAACCTGAAAGAACAGCAGAAGCCATTTAACTCTATTTACAGAGGCTGCAAGGTCTGTGAGAAGACTGAACTCTGCCCACTTTTACAGCCAGAGGCAGCTGAACTCCAGCATTTGTCAGAGGAGACACCTTCAGCACCTCACCAACTTGGCCAAGCCTGTTACAAGGCCACTGATCAGAAAGTTCAAAGACAAGAAATGGCATGGGCAAAAATCTTCCCCTCTCCCCAAAAACCTCGGCCCCTTCCCCTCAAAGTTCTCTTCTCTCTCCCCTCCCAAATTATGAAACCAGGGCTGCTTTGGGTTCTCTCTCCCACCCTGTGACTGGATTTAACTGGATCCAGCAGTACCTGTATTCAACAAGCCTCCCAAAGCAGGCTGGCTTTTTATACTTGCAGCTCATGTCAGGAACAGCTTCCTCAAGCAGAATCATACTTAGTAGAACATTACATGAGATACATTTTACCCTGAAACATACAGCCTTAGAGCAAGACTGAAACCATATGATATGATATCCACTGGGAACAATCACATCACACCTCACAAACAAGGCCCATGGGCAGCACTAAGGCCCATCCATATTTCACCAGCACAACCGCGACCATAAGGAGAGCTTAGTTTCTCAGAAAGAAACCCTCAACACAGGGGCTTGCCTCTGCTTTGAGATTTTGTGTCAGCCTCTGTGCCCTCCTGCAAGGACTACTTAAAACCCTTGAACTACATCAAAAGAGACTGTTAAAAAACAACCCCAGACTAATCAGACACAGTCATAGTTATGAATTGGAAATACAAACACTTTACCAGAACATCTCTTCCTTATTTTCTTCAGCAGAAAATGAATTTGTACTAACTTAGTAACTAAACTAAGACATGAGGAGACTTTTCACTTTGGTAACTCTGGGAATCCACTTTTCTCAACTGCTCAAGACCACAGTTAAAACACAGGAGAGTTACCAGGCCTACCCCAAAGCTAGCTGTACAGCTTTTCTCCAAAACTTCTTATTCTACTCTAAGGATTAGACTTGTTTCAGGAACAAATACTCCAGGATTTAGACAAATCACTACTTCCAACAGAAAATATATCTAAATCTGCATCACTGAAACCACACTTCTCTGTTTTTTAAAAGGGAGAGCCTTCCCCACAGACGTCACCATGAGGTAATTTAACTTTTAAAGACAGTAACTGTTCAGAGACTTACAGGTACCAACCAGGAATGCACATTTATATCAGGGCAATGCAGAAGAGAATACACTTACACTGACCCCCTCAGGGATCATGGGTTTTGTCTTCAAAAACAAGCTTTCTGCTCTGCCAACAGCACAGGCCCCGTACACCCACACCTGCAGTCTCTTCAGTTCTAAGCTCTGTCAGTGCTGAGCCCCAAACCTGACACACCACCAAGTTCCAACATTAGAGGGCTCCTCTGGAAGCTGGAGAAATCTTGCATATTATCATACAAATAAAAACAAAGCAGTTATGGCAAACTTTCTCTTGCACTAATAACAGCCTCTATTGTTTTCTCTCAGGAAACTGCAGAATCACTGCAGCCTTTTTCAAACCCTTACCTACCTTTGCAAACGCTGTTTTCCAAATCACTGGTTTGAACCAGTGATTTAAACCATTCCCTATGTATTAACACACCAAACTCCCTGCCTTTAAATCGGCACCACTTCCAGACTTGGTACTGTCTCAAAGCAGTACTTCATAAGGAGCTCAGAAGAAAGGCAATTCAATCCCACAATTCAGCCAGCCTCTCATCTCCTTCATTCTTCAGTGTATCTGTGCCAAACCCAGGGATTTCCCTCCTCCCATCAGAGCACAATACAGAAAAAAAAAAAAAACTTCAACACGAAGTAGTGCTTGCTGTCCAGTTCCTACAAAGTGCTCTACATCACTGGTGATTTTGTGGGACTAGATGGCAGGGCTTAGTGATACGGTTTAGCGATAGTTTTTGTCAGCGTTAGGCTGACGGTTGGACTAGGTGATCTGAAAGGTCCCTTCCAACCCAGGCAATTCCATGATTCTATGACAAACAGTGGTTTAATAAAAAGCACTGGCAAAAACAGGGAGTAAGGCAACTAGGAAGAGCCTGTCCCCAGTTCACCGGGTAAGTAGCACAGGTGTAACTGAACTGGGACACTGAAGGCAGCCCCAAGATTTCAACTGCAGGTCCTACACAAGCACCAAGACACAAGCTCAATTTGCTTCCCTCATGCATAGCAGTATCAGCAGTTTCTATGATAAAAGAGGTTTACAGTCAATTCCACAAAGCCTAAGCTGTCTCTGCCATTCACTCCAGCACCAGTGATCTGCTAGCCTATCTTTGTGTCCGTTTTAAAACTGCCAAGGACTAAGTCAAATCTTATTTTGCATATAAGGTTTTTATTGCTCTACAATAGTTAGTTTTGACCTTTTACTTATGCCATCTGCACACACGATAGCAAGCCTGACATCTTCATCAGTGGTAAAACAATGAAAGCCTCACCCAGTTCACCCCCTACAATTTGCACGCCCCCATCAGGAATGCTCAATCCAGAGAGGTCCATGGTCCCCACCACAATCAGAAGACCTTGCAAGTGGATGACCACAGCTGTGCTGAAACCACACACCTGCAGATGAGAAAAGGTAATGGCTATATCAGACTGCAAAACAGTATTTACAGGCACCATTTACATTATACATTCCTAATGGCATCTTATAAAGACTAAGTACAAGTCTGACAAACATTTAAACATCGCTTTGAAAAATTGTTTTGGTGCTGACTTGGGAAGCTGATTACAACAGACTTTTACTTCCTGCAGACAAAAGAAGTCTGCCTACCAGGTTTTGTCCGCAGCAGTGTTATTACCATGAAGTACGCCTCAGTGTATTTTACCCTACCTATAAAAACAGAAATGAATGCCCAACCTGTTGAAGGATTAGCCCAGAAACAGTACTAGCTCTTCATCTAAGGATCCCTACGCTCCTGCCACATGTTTTATTTATGTGTATCACTTCATCGCAAGAGGAGTACTTTTTAAGACACAACTGTAAGTTCCAGATTATGTTCTTAGCACTGGTATTTCAAAACACAATGCCTCAGATCTTAAGTCATTTTTTTATTGCAACAGGAACAGAAACAGGAGAGATTTAACCTGGACACAAAGACCATTAGACATTGCAACAAATTCCAAGGAATACTGCCTCATCTCCCTCCTTCCATCCAAAAGACATTTCAAACCAGGCACTAGACTACATGCAGTTCTTATTTGCACCATGCAGGATCCTTGACTAGATCTTAACCAGTACTCACTTCTTACCTTAAGACGTTTCCTAGACTGTCAACAACTACACAGGCAAACTCATAGACTGAGCAACACAACACTGGAATCAGATCCTGAACTGGTATTTGCAATTTCTGTAACATGAATACTCTATAGCTAATTTCTCAACACTGAAAATTCCCCCAAAGCATATGACTTAGTATTTTATTTCATAGTCCTATTTTTCCTCTGGTTTATACAAGTAAACTAACAAAATTGACACCATAAAAATCTATGTTTGCCCTCCTCTTCAAGCAGAAGCCAAGACCTACTCAAAGTATTCAGTGACAAAAGTGAAAACGTTCAAATTGGTGGTGAGCAAAGGACAGACTAACATGGAAGGAGAAATTATGAACACAGGCAATTCAACAAAAAAATCATTTTTCTATAATAAAACCTATTTGAATTACCAAGTGCAATTAAAGAAATAAATACTCATTAATGAAAAGAATTATTTTCAATCACTTGATCACCTCATTTAGCTGTTCTGGTTTCCCCTTTTTTTTCCTGCAAAACACTGAAGGTAAGAGACAAACAATCTTAAAACACCAAACAAGCAAATAGATTTGGGAAAAAGGTTTAAGTCACATGAAATAAAGTACGTTTTTCCTAAACAAAATAACAATCAAAAAAATTCTACTTCAATGAAATTGCCATTTTTTTCCTCCAATTGAAAACACATGTTTTTTGTTTTAAGAATATAATGATTTAATTTAGAGAAATACTATGCACAATGTCTCTACAAGAATTAAGAAAAACATTTTAAAGCAAAATTTTAAAAGCTGGAAGAAAAGCTACAGTTATGAAACCAAGGATTCATGCTTATACTCACCAAGAAGAAACTCGTTGCTTATACGGCTGCAAACATTCCAAACACTGTTGTAAAACTATAAGGAAGGAAAAACATAAGTCACAAGAATTCTGAGACTAGAAGTAGTTTAGTGGTCAAAAAAACATTTTCTCTACTCCCATCGCACAATAACCAATTTAATCTGAAAATATTTCCACACAGAGGGCCAGGAGGCTGCTGTGATCCAAATCGGAGAGAAACTTAGAGATCCTTACAGACAAATAGACACTATCTCTGCATATCCACATCAAGTTTCTTTACCATTTGCTTATGCTTTGCCAGACAGAAGCCACCAGTAACTTTATCATTACTCTGACTTTGGTGCACTGGAGATGTCAGAATAAACCCTTTAATTAAGCAAGTAGACAGTGTGACTACCAAACCTTGTACATGCCAGTAACTCAAAATTCAAGGTACTGTCCGCAGACATGTTATATCCCCCATAAGGGCCAAGCCGCACTTAAAGAAAATTATACCCTACCATCAGTTTTATCTTGTACATTGAGAAGGAATGATTCTAGGTGAAATGACAGGCTAAAGACCCAGCACAGGCAATCATTAGTTCACCATCTCTTCCAATGGATTGCTAAATATGAAAACAAGAGTTCCTACTGTTGAGTGTCCCTGCCCTCCTTTACCTCATTTACTACTTCTGTTAATTTGTTTTCCGTTTCTCCATTATCCCAAGTTGCAGAAATGCCTAACTGCTCTCCCCACCTTTCTGTCTAACCACTATTTGGCAGATAAGACTTTTAAGGAAGGGTATCCAAGATGTTCAAAGACACTTAAATTTCACCAATCTGCCCCAAATCTAACACCTTTTCCTCCTAGGAGTTTAATGAGAACTACTACTGAGAAACCCCCACAAATATCACTGCATCAATTATACTTTTATCACCAAACAGTCTTTAATTCTGAGTAGCTAAAAAAAGACAAAGCTTCAATTCTGAAATACCAAGTATGATAAACGGCCCATAAACAAAACCAGAACTGCCAAATCTGAGTCAAACAGTTAAAATGCCTGAGTGTTCTAGATTTGGAAGCACATCAAAATTCTTTTGCAAAGCAATTACAGCAGACTGGGAATCGCACAACTGAAATCATTGCTTCTGATGTAACATACAATTCCTACTCATACTGGTTGACTTCTGTGGCAATACCATGGTGGTTAACAGACTTTAAAGAGTCATCTTTTAGTACAGGTTATTTAAAAAAAAAAACAACAAAAACCCTATGTCAGACACAAGGCTTCAATAAGTTCAAACTATATTCTTATATATCTTATACTCAAGATACTCTTATTTAAGAAGCATGGCTGTTCAAGATATATCATGGTAATACCCACGCTTTCTGAATATTCTAAAATATCTTTTAGCTATTCAGAGAGACAGAAGAAAAAAAATCCTTCTTGCATCTAGAAATAATTCCAACTGCCACAAAAAAAAGCAGCCTAACAAATCAGGGAAAAAAATTCACATGAAACACTTATTTCATTGAAAACGCTTCTAGCAACTCAAGACTCTAAACATCTCTATGGTTTTAGATCTTCTTAGTTAAGAATGAATAAATTTTGTGTGAAGGACATTTTAAGGTGCAAAGCAATAAATCAGAGCACAAAAATTCTCTCAAGGAAATTAAGAGTTCAAATGTTTAACAACTAAAAGACCTGCAGACAGCTCAAGCAAGCTGTGTCGTTTCTTATGGAAGCACAGTCTGCAAATCATGGGTTCATCACGTCAACCCATGCATGTCCAGCCATGTGAACAAACGCAAGCCATGGTGACCAAATGCAGTCCTCTCCTGTCAACAAAAACATCCTCAGCCAGATAAACTAGTCTGCACATGGCAGAGGGACCTGCATTTTGGTCATACGAGAACTAACTAAAAGAGTTTCTTCAGAACAATTTCTTCATCCACAAATCCAATTCTTGTCAATACACGCATGGCTTCCCTGGACTGCAGGAGGAGTGGCAGAACAAGCTACAGCCACTTCAATTGTTCCGAGAAACCTAATTTAGCCTGCAGACTGGGCACCCCAAAGTAACTTCTCCTGCTTTTGTGCCCGAAGCTGCATAATACCACTTCATAATGCTGAATGCACCAAGTGTAACTGCCCTCGAGACACTTTTGCCCTGCTTAATGGGCTCACAGTGCCTTTGTTAAATAAAAATGGAATCAGGAAAAGGAAAAAAAAGTGGTTTGATTCTCATCACCATTCTATACTCCCTCAGAAGCAAAAGCAACAAAAAACCCACAGAACTCATTAGACAAACTTACTTACAGTGGGACTATATTTAAATACTCAATTTAGGGTGGTGTTGCAGCAGCCTAAGGCTGAATGCATTGAGTAACCCCAGACAAAGTGCCACCTTTTGGAGAAGGCTCTTGCACAACAGACAACGAAAGGAACCACACATAGGCTCAAAAACTCACACGACAATTGCATCATTTTACAAAGACAACAGGTTTCTTCTTAAAAGAATATACTTTTAAGAAACAGGCAGGGTCCAAGAATATGACTTTCATTTGCCTATGTATTGTCTGCTTGACTGTAACACCTAGATTGCCGAGTCTAATACCATTTCGCACTTGATGCCAATGTTTTGAAATCAGTACATTTAAGCATTAAGTAGCTCTGAAGTATTACCACCCTTCTGAAAAGCGATACCAAGGTATTCTAAAGAAGTCCACACTTAAGAAAGAAATTTAATACTTAAGGCTAAACGTTGGTCAGTAAGCTGACCAATTAATTCCTCCGTTTTGACCAGATGTCCTGCCCCAGGTTGAAGGTTGCTCTGGGTGTTCCACCAGCACACTATACACTTACAGCAGATTGCTGAACCTAAGTTTTCTCCTATCAGTGAGCATCAACATACATTTTAGCTATTAGAGGAAAAATGGAAAGTACGAAAACAATCTGGTAACAGTACCTGCAGCAGTAACTGGACTTCGACTTCTGACTCTTATAAGAAGTCTACCTGTAAAAATATCCATAAAGAAACCACTGAGAAGCATTTTTCAAAGATAATTTACAGCACCTGCAATACTGACCACTGAAAATCCCATAGAGCACTGTTTCCAGCCAGTCAGTATAGAGTGTTCTGACACTTACACGTGGCATTCTCAGTTTCATTAATCAATCGCTTCCTGACTGGACAGAACCAAATCTACCCTACTTATCAATGTGACAGTCAAAGGGAAATCTTGCAAGTTATACTGCCATGAGCTTTGAGAAAAAATTATGTCTTCATTTAAGTTAATGCATTAAGCAGACAAATAATCTGTGTATGTGTTATACTGTAAGAAGCATGAAACTCCCTCATTTTATTACAGAAGGAAAGAAAGGAGTCCACTTCAAGGCTGCTTGTAAACTTGTCCCCCAGCTCAGAGATGAAAGGGCAGCAGGGAAAAATAAAAATAAAATAAATCAGGGCATCTCTATGCAAGACTGATGACAGCAATACTGAAAAGACAGAGTTGCAATCCAGGCAAATGACTGATATAAACACAGGGAAGCACATAACAAAAGCCATTAGGAACTGGCATTACAGTGAAGCAGCAATTAGAGTCTTGCAACCTCTGCTACGCCTTTTAAGTCCAAGTAAAAGCCCTAACTCAAGCCCTATCAACAGCACCATCTTTGTGCCACTGATGCACAAGTCTAGGCTAAGGATGCTCATTTCTACATCTGGAGCACTGGAGGTGTTCAAGATAGTTTCCTGACTCCATGGGACAAGAGGATATTCTCTATTTCCTTGGGAAAGAAGTGCTAAGTATCAGAAAAACAAGTTCATTTTGAAACTGGTATTTTAACATCAGCAATAAAATCAGGAAAGCTCTTTGGTGCTAATTTCATACTGAAAAAAAAAACCAAACCCCACACTATGCATTAGTGCTTCCCCTCTTTCTTTTAATACAGGGTACCTAGCTAAAGACACAGATGGAGACAGTTATATCTCTTTTTAACCAATTTCATAAACCTACCTGAAATGAAGTTCTTAAAAAAAACAGTAAGGTAGAGACTGCAGCTAGCTACACTGAAACAAGGCGGGCTGAAAGTTCTCAATCCCAGTAAAACCACACAAAGTCACGTCAACAAACTAACAAGGCCCAAAAAGAAGGAATATCCCAACATGCATTATTTTCTGCCACACACATCTGCAGCCAGTCAACACTTGCACGATCACTTAAGTCACTAAGCGGTGCTTGCATCCACAAAAAAAAAAACCCACACACCTGAAAAGCCACCAGTTCCAAAAGGTCTTATGAAACACACAAGCCTTGTAGCTATTGGTATTTTGACAGCAAGGACAAACCACAGGTTCCAAATTGCTATTTCTTACCTGAAAAAAGGCTTTTCCTACAGGAAGCACAAGAAGTCAAACCTGTAGGCAAGCAAGGAACGGAAGTATGAAGGTGATAAGGAGTAAGCTGAAACAAAAAAAGAAAGGAGTAGACTTGTTCAGCTGTTTAATGAGCTATTACAAGCACTTCACAAGACTTCTCAATAAGATACACTAGTAAGTTTAAAGTATATGCAACTTTTTTAATTTAAAAAACACACTGCACCCACACAATTAAGCAATCATGAAGAATGAAGTTTAAATACTGATGACAACCACTTGTAGGGCTGAACAATAAGTGCTCCCCCCAGCCTGTGTATATTCTTTACCTCGGCTCACAGCACTGTTGCACAAGCACTCACATCTGCACAGGACAGTGCCAGATGGGCAGAAACCAGGAGACAAGTGGCAGCACAGCTTTCCTATAGCAACAGTGTCAGCTCCTGTTGAGGTCTGGCAAATTACAGCTACAGACAATGGCTAGCTTCTAGAGATGCAGCTATAAATAAAATATGCAGTTACAAAGAATTTATCATCCCCTACAATTAAATTATGGACTGCATCCTCCGTTCCTGACCAAGGGGGAGAATTTAGGTCAGTATCATTACCTAGGTTACCCAGGAACTACAAGAGCAAAAGAAAGCGCCTCAGAGAACTTATCCAATTAAAGGTAAGAATTAATTACATGCTTCTTACATTTCAGTCAAGGCTGCACTGTTATGAGCAATTACTATTCTAGCCTCATTCCCAACTTGACCTTAATTAATTACTCTGGATTACAGGCAAGGAGATTTTACTCTCAGGCTACTCAAGTCAAATTTTATTTCTATTCAGGAGACATCAACACAAATATCTACAAGAAAGTGAACTGAAGTCTTCCAGAAACTGACTTAGGTCAAATAACGAGTAGTCATCTAATCCACCTTCAATTCCAGAACTATTGAAGAAGTCAGACAAAAATTAAGGAGAGAATTACCAGTGATATTCATAGCAAGTGTTCTCATTTGGCTTTTTTTTTCCTGGAAACTGTGAAGGGATCCTTACTCATTATAGAAAATTAAAGGAACTCAGGTCAAAAGCACTGCTGTTACAGAGATGCTCAGTTACAAGCTTCTGTACAGATACCTACAAAAGTTACTTCAAGTCATGAGCCTTGTTTTTAACATTTAGGTTTATTCTTCCACTGCATACAATACCAAATTCTGTATGCAGATAGAAGACACTTGTTTTATCCAGCTTGGACTCGTCAACATTCAAATATACCTCCTGATCTATTTTCAAGTATTTAGGCTAGAAACACTAGCCTGGGATCACAGAAACATCTTTGTGCTCCTGGGAAGATTTTCAATAAGTAATGGAGATATAACTGTTTTCCAAAATTGTACTGACAACCCTCTTTGATTGATCATCCCCTACTACAGCCAGTTTGCACATCCCCGCCAATCCAACCGGTACACTAACCCACTTCAGTGGCAACAAGCCATACCTGTACCTAGGCCTGTCAGGAAACAATACAGTGCCTCCCAACACTATGCATTAAACAGGTATGACACGGAGCAGCTTTCGGGCTAGTGCAAGGATCCACTGTTATTTCTGTTCCGTAAGGACATTCTGAAGGGACAAGACACAGCGGGATGGAGAAGTGCTCCCGACTTCACGGGACACGGGAAAGCCAGAACCCGCCGGCTGACCCGCCCGCAGGTACCTGCCCCTGCCGGGCTCCTGCCATCCCGCGGGGCCGGGCGCGGAGCAGCCGCCGGGGCCCCG